CCCCACAGGTGAGGCCTCTCCTGTGTGTGTGTGTGTGTGTGTGTGTGTGTGTGTGTGTGTGTGTGTGTGTGTGTGTGTGTGTGTGTGGTCACTCCCTCTACGTCTCTTCAGCCACATTCCAGCACACACCTCACCAGCTCATTTGTTTAATTTAAGATACTGTGTCTGCTCACTGTGCTGAGGAAATGAGGCTGTGATCCCCATTCTCATCATCATCCTCATCCTCATCATCATCATCATCATCATCATCATCATCCTCATCCTCATCATCCTCATCCTCATCCTCATCCTCATCATCATCATCATCATCATCATCATCATCCTCATCCTTATCATCCTCATCCTCATCCTCATCCTCATCATCATCATCATCATCATCATCATCACTTCAGACACTGAATGGCTCAAGGTTATATGCATTCCACAGACAGACAGACGTCTGTGGAATTAGTAGGTAGATGTTCAAGTTCTTTAGCACCTTGATATTTGACGTAGGTTGTCTGTGTTGTGTCTTTCAACAGGAAGTGAGATGCTGACATGATATGAGTTGGTTTATTTGGTATTGTGGCTGTAAATGTGTCATTATCACAAATAGGCAAGCCTTATCATAAAGGCTATTTTTATATAACTATTCAAAACTTGTGGTGGAAAGTTCTGCTCTTCAATACAGCTCTGATGGGAGTATTTCTATCTGTGCTAAATTATGTCATGTAGTTAAAACTAGGATGGTACTCAGGGTATTTTTCAAGTATGTTTGCTGATAATGTCTGCATACATTTACTTAGGTAATTATTTAATTTAGAACTATTTGTGTTACAGTATTTTTATTGTATGGTAACCTACTGCTAGGTTTCCATGTTTCCTTGCCAACTATCAAGACAAAAATTCATGACCACAACCACAATATGCAAATCTCTGTTAAACCTCAGAAACGGGAAGGCCAGGCTGCAGTTTACTACAAATAAAAGAAGCTACTAATGAAACTGAAGTCAAACTATCAAAATGATAAAAAGAGGAATTTGAGGAAAACAGAGCCACCAGTCTGTGGTGGAATCTAGAATGAAGAAACATACAGGAGCATTCTGGAGGCTCAGACTCAGCCAAATGCTTCAAAACTCATTGGACAACATTTATCATTAAACAGGATAACAATCACAAACACGCTAGAGCTATTCAGGGAGCGGTAGAGGCGGAATATCTTTGATTGACAGAGAGTCCCCACTACAAGGGATTTTTTACTAAATGTGCATTTGTCCTATAACCTTTGAACCCTTATAGTTTGGGCCCAATGTGTTTAAAGTGTTATATCTTCCACACAGCTCTTTATATGTTGATGTAAATCTGCTCCAATTAGTTGAGTTAGTACTTCAATGTTGTACCTCTACTTTTATTTCAAAGTACAGCTCAGAGCCCGAAGACCAAAAGACGTGTAACTCAAAGACAAATACTTCCCATCTCATCTATACAGCTATTGATATTTGTTCACCTCTGCCAAGTAGGTTATGTTTTCATCTGTGTTTGATTGTTTGTTATAGCACTACATAAAACTACTGGATGGATTACCATGAAACTTAATGGAGGGATGTGGTATGTGTCACATAAGAACCCATTACATGTTGGTCCAGAACCAGATCAGGGGGCAGTTCCAGGATTTGTTATAATTGTCATAATTTCCGAGGGAATAAATCGTGTTTCCTGATGAAAATTAGGAGCTGATATCTATAAGTGTGTGAAAGTGGTGCAGCTTGGTTGAATTTGACTGTTGGGCCTTGGCGGAGGAATGTGCTCTACTGAGGCCCATTCCAGTTAATGATTGAGATGTACACATTTTTTAATCTTTATTACAAATCTGTGTCGCCGAATAGGTATTCCATATTTACATAAGGATGGTGGAGCATGTGACGGATGTAAGCAGGGGATAACAGTAAAGATGATGCTGAAGGCCCTGCTTGTCTAAAGAGGATCATGAATCCTCTAAAGCACAGGCTGAGCTGATCCCTGTCAGTGACCCTACAGCAGCGTTCACCCACTGTACAGCTGATCTAAATGGAGAGCTCTGGGTCTTTGAGGCCTCGGAGCCGTGTCTGTTTACACCTGACACCAGTGTGAGCACTGGAAAGCACATTTACTGAGGTACCGGTTCAGTTCTCTTGTACTTTTACTTTCCATACTGTGATATGTGGGAAACTTTTTATTTCACTTATCTCATTATAAAGCTGTAACTTCTAAAAACCTATTATAAACACTGCATTATGCAATTCACAGTATTTGATAAATACCACCACTAATACCATAATAATAATCTAACAATTTAAAACCTAATGCTTAATGAAGGATGACTTTTTTCTTTCTTGGCTACAATCACTGCGTTTCTGTCAAGTGTGTCTGTCGCACCTAAAACTTCAGTCGTCCTGGAAACAAACCAGACTGGTCCATCCAGTTCCTCTGTCCTCGGTGGGAATCTATCATCGTGCCGTCTGATGCTGGCTGAAATGTCAAGAATGTTCTGGGAAGAACTTTATTACTTTGACTGCCTGAAGGTGCTGATCATGCAGCTCAGCTCTGTACTCAGGGTTATCCTGCAACACTCACTTTTTTAGTATCTTATTGCCAGATATGCTGATTAGGTGAGAGGCTGTGGTGAAGACATTTCTTTTATCTATTTATGGTTACATAAATAAAGCCCCTTTACACAGCTGATAAATGTTTATGATGTTTTATTGAAACATGGCAGCGTGATGGGAGATTGTATCAATACAGGTGATAATATATAACATTTTCTCTGATTAACTTCTGCTTTCTTCCCATTTGTTCCCATGTAATTGTAACCACAAATCATATATAGATTCTGGCCTGTGCAAGGACATGATAGTGTTGCATAATGACTTTTTTTTAACCAACATTAATATTGCCTTTGTATTGTTAATCTGCAAATTTATAAACTGTCTCAATAATTGTTTTAATTTCATATTCTTTTTTAGACACCTCATTGTGCATTGTCTCTCTGATATCAACCATTTAAGAAATGAATTGAACTTTTTTTTCACATTTTATATTTGCTGATGAAAGTGAAGATCTTCAGATCAGGGAAAATAAAGCCAAGAACTAAATGCATATAGTTGGAGAACTGATCCTTAATTATGCACTCTTACATCAGATTTGAATTTCAAGAATGGAATCAAATGATTGCCATGTCCAGCCAGACAGAGCAGCGACCCATCGCAGGCTGTCTGACAGCAGATGGAGGAGCTTTAAGATGGTCTAAATAACCCAGTGACTGTTGTTCCTCCTGTGAGACATGGGTAAGCTGAGAGAGCACTTAAGTGAAGGATATTTATGAACATGGCTGTGATACCGTGGCCTACTTTAAATATGAATCATTGTCACTCAGGTTAGTCTTCATACATTGTATTTGAACTGTATGCATGAACTTCTATTTCTGATTTTGAAAAAGGTTAATGCTGCAGTTTCAGCTTTATCCTTCCCCCTCATGTGACTAAATGTCCCGCTGTGTTTACTTTTCTTTTTCCCAGAGACGCCACTTACAGTTCATGTCACTGTGTGGAGTAACAGAGAAGCTCCAGGTAAGTAGTATTGTTTGAATGGCACCAAGGCCCTCTGAAGTGCAGTAAACTCCATATTTCACCTGTCGTGACATTAAAAACCACAACAGTGTCGGAAAGAAACCTTATTTTTTTTATTTCATGGAAAGCACTTTGAAACGTGTTTTGAAAGAGTAACATAAAAAATGGTATTATCAACATTAAAACCAATAAACCAGTCATCATTTCTGATTTATCGCAGTTTACAAATTATATTTATAGACAGTTTTATAATCACAACATAGACAGGATTCTGTTAGTCTTACTTTGATATCTAATATGTGCAAATATGACTTTTTAGTCATTTGTTGTCATCCTGTGCACAAAGATTAGTCTCTGCTGTTAGCTCTCTTTGATTAGTTAAGTATTCGCTGGCAAGCAAAGTGGATTAAAATGAAAAAGCTTTTCACACAGACGCACAGAGAGCTGATTAGCACACACACACACACACATACACGCACACACACACACACACACACACACACACATATATACACAAACACACCCATATACACACACACACACACACACACACACACACTGCTGCTTGCAGACACTTTTCAGTCTGCATACTTGTGTGCCATGCCTGCGTGCTTGCAGCACATCCTGGCTATGGTGTCTATTGGATATTTTACATATATATTTTGACTGACCGACATGGGAAACTGTAACAGCTCCTCAGTGGAAGAACTACAAGCGTGTGAGAGTCATCAGTGGTACAGAAAATTCATGACAGAGTGCCCCTCCGGACTTCTCACCTTCTACGAGTTCAAGAAGTTTTTTGGCCTGAGGAATCTGTCGGATACATCAAACGCCTACATTGAGACCATGTTCACGACGTTCGACATGAATGACGTAAGAAAATGAAGTTTTTTATGTTTTATTAATATAATATAAGAAATATAAGAAATTGCACAAAAACAGGAAAGGAAGCTGGTTTATTTGAAGTACTTACATAATATAATATATAATAACATAATATCAATATGATTATGCCAAATTATATACTTCTAATAAACATAATAAAAATAGAATAGTGAAAAAAAAGCTACATCTACTGTTTCAAAAAATATAAATTATAATAATCATCAAAACATATGTGTTTATTTAGAAAGGAGGAATAAAAGAGGAAATAAACCAACCTGTTGTTGTTGAAGCAATTAAAGCATTTGTTTGAGAGGTTAATGACAAAGACCAACAAAGTTGCACCTACATGTTGCATCCCACTGGTCATAAGTGCATTTTCTGTCTGTTGTATCAATATATGATTAATTGCATATACTTAAGGTTTCCACCACTTATGTGCTATTTTCTGTCTGTCGTCTAATGGATAAAGTAAACTTATATGAGCAGAATTATATGACCAAAAAACGAAATCATGTTCAGCTCCATTTAAAACAAAAACTACACATTCCTGCATCAGTGTTTTACACCAGAGGAAGGTTATTTCTGCTCATAAGCTCCCTCTATTAGTGAGGGAGCTTATCCCACCAACACCACTAACCCAGCTGACCTACAATCATAAACACAGCGGGTGCAGCCTCTTTATGCACACATGGGAACTAGAGGCAGATGGATGCTTGGTTATTGGGACTGATTTTTTCTCCTCTGTCAAACATATATTCATTTTTTGTAGCTGTGACTGCATCACTTCTTGGGTTTTGTAGATCAGCAAGATTGGCAAAAGAAGCATTCAAATAAATTCTGAAAAAATAGCCTTGTAATGTGTGTGACAGTAATATACTGCTGCATATCTGAGTCTTTTCCCTGTGCAGGATGGATACATCGACTTCATGGAGTATGTGGCCGCTCTGAGTCTGGTGCTGAAGGGAGGAGTGCAGAAGAAGCTCCGCTGGTATTTCAAACTGTATGATATCGATGGGAGTGGCTGCATCGACCGTGAGGAGCTGCTGCAGATCATTAAGGTACTGATAATGAGCCTCCATGTCAGGTCAGAGCTCAACCAGGGGCTTAGTGAGAGATTGTAGAAAATCCAACAGGGCTGTCCTGAAACAACCTGCAGAGACCACCCAGCTCTCAGTGAGATGCACAGACACATAGCAGGGGAAATCTCACCTGAGGCTGAGACCAGACTGAGACCTGAGGCACACAGCTGACATTTAGGTGACATCTGCTGGTTGAAGAGTGCAACAATACACCAGTCAGCTTTTAACTTCTCTTTCTGTGTCATGTTCAGTCCATTCGAGCGATCAATGGAGTCCCTCATGAGATGTCCGCAGAGGACTTTGCCAACATGGTGTTTGACAAGATTGACATCAATGGAGACGGTAAGACCCCAGACTCCGACAATAGATCACTATCTCATGATTGACTGAGAGTTTGTGATTTGGACAGCAGAAAACTGATCTTCACAGGAGATATTTTTAGACTAAACAAGTTTAAACTGAAGGACTGGTGCTGAGTGTGTCTGTTTGTCTGTTTTCCAGGTGAACTGTCCTATGACGAGTTCATGGAGGGAGTACTGAATGATGAAATGCTCCTGAAGACCCTGACGGAGAGTCTGGACCTGACACACATAGTCCACAGGATTCAAGGAGAGATGAGGGCCAACATTTAAGATTTCCAACCGTTTACAGACTTTTACCTGACTGTGCCACAGCAGAATGAGGGAAAATGTGGGTTCAGGAAAATCCATAAATAATCAACGCACGACACCAGCTGAACTGTTCTGCTGTTTCATCAAACAGTCATGGACCAGAACAAGACATTCCATCAACCCAGATATCAAATTACCTCTTCAATGCCTCAACGCAAACTTTAAAATGCAAAGCATATGACCTAATACGCCATGTAATTAAAAACTATCATTAATGTGACAATGATTCACATTAGTAGATATTCACAGCCAAACACCAACACAGGTGCATGAAGTTAAAACATATTCTGTGCATCTTCTGTCAAACCCCAGCTGAAATGATTTCTGTCCAACGTCCATTAAGTGCTTTATATCCATGAACTTGTTGCATGTTGTTTGATGGTAAATACATGATGAACTATCTGTAGCATTCTGAGACGCTTACTCACTTGATTGTAATGTTTTATAGAAAGTAGACTGACCGGATATTATCCTTCTTTTGAACCACTGCAGAGAAGTAGGTACTTTTATAAAGCCTCACTGTTTTATATTTTTGAATGAGTCTATTATCAGGTAGTCACTGAGCACTAGATGTAATTTATATTTCAAAATAAAATACTTTTGTCAACATAACCTCAGATTTCCTACTTACATCACAAGGTCAATCAAATCAGGAAATAATGTTCTTTTTATAGTTGTTATAGTTGTTCTCTCCAATTCCTCAAACAGTCAGACTGGGTGTGTGTATGTGTGTGTGTGTGTGTTTTACTATCATAAATTGTACTTGTAAGATACTCATCTCTAGGGTATATGGCCTTATTGTTGTGCAGTATTGTTTTACTTTGCTTTTGTACAGCACTTTACTGAAGTCTGGCAGACATTTTTCTGTATTTTCCGAGGCCTACTGAGGTAGTTTCACATAAAATTATTAAAAGCCTGATTTTAAACAAGGTAGAAAATTTAATGTTTAGTGTTAGTATATAATTAGTATGAACATGTAGTGTGAATCAAAAATTGAAAAATTGTTTGAGGACTTTGCCAAATAGGACTACTGCATATATCACTGCATCACATGCATCACTAGATCTGTAACTCTTATGAGACAAAGGCTTTACTTGTGATGCTACAGGCAGTTGGCACTCAATTGTCTATGGACACACAACAACACACCCACCTCATCCCAAAATGCAGGACATTAACATCACAAACACACTCGCACACACACGTACACACACACGACAACAGGCTCATTTAGCATAATACACCGAAACCAGGAAAATGCAGAGGGCCTGATGCACAGATAGATGAATAGATGGCTGGATGGATGGATGAATAGAAGGACCAATGCATGGATGCTTGGAAGTATGAATGGATGGATGGATAGGTGGAGACACGCTCTGAAGTGATGTGTAGTTTCAGGGAGTGGCTTGCTGTTGTGGCTTTGAATAGTGACGGGATCATAACAAACTGTTCACAGGTCCTGTGGCTCTAAATGAAAGTTTTGTTTCTGGAAACTTCGCCTGCAGCTGAGGTGAGACATGCACACACTGAGTTAAGCAGTCTAGACGTAGGCCAGTTAAGATAAAAACCTATAGTATTTATCTTTAATCATCTTTCTGTTAAACATAAATAAGACAATATAGCTACAAATATAAATGTATGATAAATGTATGAAAATTATTAATTTTATGAACAGAAATATTTAATCTTAACAAAATTTCTATTACACTCCCATTAAAAATATGCACTGTAAAGGCCGACTTATTAATGGTCTAATCACTTAGTTGATGAATCTATTATGACGAAAATAAATGTAAACAAAATACATATTAGTTAGTTTAGTCCTAAATTTCTCTGCATCCAATATAATTGAAAAAAAAACAACTACACAATGCTGTCAACTGTAAATCTAAAAACATGACTACAGTTGTGAACAGAGGCAAAATAAATTAGATACATAAAGTTTCATATCATAGCTATGCAGCCAAAATTATATTGATACATTTTTTTTACATCAGTCGATTTCGATAATTATCATTTCTATTAGGTTTAAAGACTGATTCTTGCTCCAGAGCGAAGTTTGTAGTTATAATCTCTTTGTGATAAACAGCTAAATATCTGAGGTAGATAAATTATGTTTTAACCTTACACAATGCATAAGAAGTGTAAGTGTACGTTGCTACTGATGACAAATATATTGCAATCATTATGTATAGCCTATTGTCCCCCCCCCCCAGTTCTGTTTCAGCCCATTCCCTAAGATCCAGATAAATTAATAATAACCAAATGTCAGAGATAATTAGTATGAGTATGTATATGATTATTCTATAAAGATAATTATTTAAAATAAACTTTATTTAGAACTCCTATATATGCCAGGCTCATCATGAAAGATCAAACTATGTGACTTCAGTCTTTAAAAAACGTGTCACGTGTCCACGTGCTTCTGAGGGGTAAGGTGTGTCCCGGCGTGACGTCACGGTCGTACCTGAGTTTCGGTGAGGAGAAGGGGGAAGGACCGAGCCGAGTGGAAAAAACACCAATTGTCGTCGCTCCTTCGACACAAACACACTCGCTCTTGTTTGTTGTTGATCTCCAGTCGGGCCTCGTCGAGGTGATTATCGGTGATCGATGACGGCGAGCAGGACGTAGGACGTGCACGGGTTTTTTATATTCCAGCTGTGTGCGCGCAGGGCCGAGAGGGACCGAGCTCTCACACTTCCTGGTTCTCCACAGGTATGTGTGTCGTTGGTTAGTTTCATGCTTTGTTTACTGAAGTTTTCGGACCGATCTCTTTGTTATTCTCACATTGAAAACTTCCGGTCTGCATGGAGCTGCACGATCTGTAAAAAAGATGAATCATTGCAGCTTTAAAATGTTTGGTGAATCGGGACCTGCAGGATTTCTGGGTGAACTCCTCTGCTGCAGTGTTTGGTAAACGTCCCTGACAGCTGGTGAAAACCTCTCTGGGTTACAGACATGTCGGTGACCCCTCGACGTGTGCGCCTGAAGCCCTGGTTGGTGGCTCAGGTGGACAGCGGCCGATACCCGGGGCTGGTGTGGCTCGACCGTGAGGCCATGCGCTTCAGGATCCCATGGAAACACGCCACACGACACACACCCCAGCATGAGGACGAAGACACCATATTCAAGGTGAAGACGGAATATACGCTATGGATGTCATGGGGGGGGGGGGGCTGGGTTTACTCTGAGTCAAAACATGTAAATATGCACCTCTGGCACTGACACACACACACACACACACACACACACACACAGGTCTCAAGCTTTTAGTCCAAATGGTTAAGAAAGGTTTATGATGGGCCATGCATGTACAATCTACATTTATTATTTAATTTGATTCTATTGTCTTTTTATATTGCTATTCTCTTGTCTACCTCATTCTGACTTGTCTGCTGCTGTTACAAGTGAATTTCTCAGTGTGGATCGTTAACGTTTTATCTTATCGCTGTAGCAAAAAGTCTAGATCTTCAGCAGATGTCTGGATCAGAACCATCCTTTTAAACCTATACATGCAAATTGCACAAGCCACCGATTTGGACCCTCTAAGAGATGGAACAGTATTCTCCTCTCAGATTTCCATGGCTGTGTGCCCAATGAATGTCAAACAAAAGCTCTTTAAGGGCTACATTTTCTTTTTAAGTCAGTTTAAATTAAAAAAGAACTTGGCATGTGCATGTGTACGCACCTGGCTGTTTTGGATTCATGTTTATTATGTAGGCATACAGCTGTAAATTTCTAGATTGTTTTTAAAAATCAACATCCGGAAAATAAAAGATAAGCTGGTAGCACATGCGCAGGCTAAAATAAGAACGTTAACAACAAAGTAAAACTTGGTTCAATATTTAGAAAAACGATCAGGTTATATATTGGACATGCATAGAGGGAGAAGAAGAATGTTTTGTATCTCCAGGTATAGCTTTAAATAAATTCCAAGTCTATGAACATTAATCATTGCCCATTAACTTCAATGCTACAATTATGCATCACCACAAAAACAATACACCTGTGGATCCTGTTTAGAAATATAAAATCACAGGATTATGAAACCTGCGTTCTGTGTAATGCTCCTCCAGGCGTGGGCCGTGGAGACAGGGAAGTTCCAGGAGGGAGTTGACGAACCTGATCCTGCGAAGTGGAAAGCTCAGCTGCGGTGTGCGCTGAACAAAAGCCGAGAATTCAACCTCTTCTACGACGGCACCAAAGAGGTCCCCATGAATCCCTTGAAGATATATGACGTCTGCGACATCCCACAGCCGCTCAGTAACCAAGGTACATGAGAGTGGATGGAATATGGGTGAATTTCTTCATGCTCAATGATTCATTACACATTTTGTTTTATTTTATATTCACTTCACGTGATTTTTACTCAACAGGCTCCTCAGACGCTGGTTCCTGGACTCCACATGAGGACGATGGTGGTGAGGAAGATGTTCCGGATACCCCGGAATCTCTCCCTCCATACCCATCCAATGGTGACTGAATTATTCTCATACCTTTTTGCCATTAAATAAGTGATACAGTGTAATTGCATTAAACAAACAATGAATTATATTTCCTTTTGTAGGCCCCAGTCCGTCTCCTCTCATCATGTGGTCTCCTATGGGCTCAGACTCGTCCATGCAGCCTCCAAGTTGTCCCCCTTCAAACGAAGTGTGGCCCAAAGAGGAGCCTGTGAAGATCTGGCCTAAAGAGGAGCCTGTGGATGTGGAGATGCACCCCACACCCCTGGCAGACATGTCACCCGCTCCTCTGCCGGATCCCATCCTGCAGCCCTCTCCTCTAACTGAGGCCTTGTTTGCCTCCCCAGAAACATGGATTAGTTCCCTCCCAAGTAAGTATGGATTTAGATAATACAGAAATCCATTGATCTCAGTCAAATACATTTTTATTTGTATAGTCCATATTCCTAAATCACAGTTTGCTTCATAGGGCTTAAAAACCTGTGCAGGGTGCAACATCCTCTGTAGGGTGAGGAAGAACTACAATAACCTTTTTAAACTGGACAAAAATTAATAATCACAAGTAAGGGATCCTTCTCCCAGGATGGACAGTTAGCAGACTCAGATGGATTTAATGCAGTAGGCTGAGGTGTCCGGATACTGCAGCTCATTCAAGTCCAGTAGCTCTCCAGCTCCTTTGCATTTGCCAAAAGACTCAGATAAGAAAAAAAGGCTGTCAGCACCAAGCCCACTAAAGATGTAAATCTCCCGCATACGTATCCTGAGTCCTCCTGCAGCGGCTACACTAACGTAACCTGGCTCTTTGCTGCGTGTCTTTTCCCATTTTCTCTCCCTATTTCACATGTGAACTGTCAATAAAGGTAAAATTCTAAAAAGTATTTCTGACAAATACATATCTAAGAAAAAAGATTTCCTAATTTCAGACAGTATAGTTTTGATGTTTCTCTAACAGCAGTATAAATCATTTGTCGGGAACTATTTTCAGCATATATCAGTATTTAGAGCAGCAAGGTAATGGTGTTTGTTAGATCAACTCAAAGTAAACCACAGCATCCATGTATATAGATAAGGAAAACTTGACCCAGTGCAGTGTTATATATTATTTATGCTCTTTTTAAATGCTTATCTAAAAAACTTCAATATCCCTGGGTAATTTCAATTGTGTATTCTTAGGTGAAAAGACCCTTTAAATTGAAGCATTACGTTACCTGCACATGAAACAGGATTTTAAACTTCTTTTCTCTGCTTGTCGCTGACCCAGTGACAGACCTGGAGGTCCAGTTTCTGTACCGGGGGAAGGAGATGTGTCCCACGCTGAACATTAGTAACCCCCAGGGCTGCAGGCTCTTCTACGGAGACCTCGGCCCCATGGTCAACCAGGAGGAGCTGTTCGGTCCCGTGAACCTGGAGCAGCTCCGCTTCCCGACCACAGAGCACATCACCAACGACAAGCAGAGGGTCTTCACTAACCGCCTGCTGGACGTGATGGACAGGGGTCTCATCCTGGAGGTCAGTGGCCATGACATCTACGCAGTGCGTCTCTGCCAGTGTAAGGTGTACTGGTCCGGACCCTGCGCTCCAAATCCAACCGCACCGAATCTTATAGAGCGACAGAGGAGGATCAAACTCTTCTGCCTGGAGTCTTTTCTTAGCGGTAAGCCGAATGTTCTTTTTACTCAATGAACACAATTAGATAAATGAACTTGGCTTCTACTTTGATTTTAGTTAAATCTTTGCAGCCCTTCTCTTCCTGGAAAATTAAATATACTGTCTGAATTTACTAATCTTAAGGAATATTGTTTCCTTGCTGTGTAGGTGTGATAGCTCAACAGCGTGGCCAGACACCAAGCCCCCCTCAGTTTGAAATCAACCTGTGTTTTGGAGAGGAGTGGCCTGATGGCAGACCCAAAGAGAGGAAGCTTATCATGGTGCAGGTGAGACATGTTAACGTCTTATTTGTGATAATCAACAGCTGATGATGATAATAACTTCTTTCGCAGTGACTGTTTGAACACCTTACAATATATAATAAATAAATGAATACCACAGGGCAGTAAATCTGATTCCTGTGCATCATCAAAGCCTATTTGCAGCAGTTGGGTGGATAATAAAAATAGTAAACTGCTTTTAAAGTCCAACTCAAACTCATTGACTTGTTAATCTTTAATCTGCATACGAGTACTTTACTATATGACAGAAATGTTATGAAACAAGCAGAAAGTTGGTTGTCAAACACTTTTATATTCTCTCACTGAGACTAATCTGTTTGTATGTCTGCAGGTGATTCCAGTGGTTGCCCGCATGATAAGCGAGATGTTTTCAGGGGACAACATGCGCTCCTTTGACAGCGGCAGCGTTCGCCTGCAGATCTCTATCCCAGATATCAAAGACAACATAGTGACCCATCTGAAGCAGCTGTACTGTCTGCTGCAGACCCACCAGGGTCAGGATGGCTGGGCATTGCCCCCTGGGTCTGGTCTGAATATCACCCATGCCCTGCAGGCACAGTGAAGTAGCACATACCATCCAGATATATATATATATATATATAGATCTTGTTTCATTCACACTGCTACTAAGAGTTACTTGTAGGTGGCAAAGAAGTACTTATTTGTAATCTTATTTAGACACACTGTATAGCGTAAGATGCATTTGCTTTTCAGCTTTTCCCTCGTATGACTGTGCTGCGACAATGTTTCTCTGTAAATAAAGGCCTGTGTTATTCTCCACTGTGTGTGTGTGTGTGCAGGAAGCGTGGACAGTTGTAGGGACTGCACGGGCCAAAGTCCTGCTCATAGTTAATAAGTTACAGAAATTGACCTGTGCCATATTTATCCAAAACAGGAGAGTGATTACTAAACTCTCCAGGGGTTTGTGTCACTCATGAAATGGGGCAGAAAGCCTTTTTTATATAACATAGGCTAATGTAAATGAATTTGTCCAGGGGTTTCCAGCTGTTTTAAATCCCAGTATCCTGCGCGCACAAGAACGTTTTAACAAATCACAAAAAAAGTCTTCCCTGCAGTTTCTGTCTTGAGTCTTTTTATTTTTGCAGTTATATTGTAGGATACTAGGTTATTCATATCTTTGATTTTTAAGAAATTTGCTGTATCCTGGCAGCCATTTAACTACACAACGTTCAGCTATAGAGATCTGTTTTAACATGGATGCCACTGCACTTTGAGGTACTGAACTCTGTTGTATGGTTTGTTGAATGTAAGTGAATTTATCCTGTGATTGTAGGTTTATTTTATCAATAAAAATTACAAATAACCATTTGAGTTTGCGACTTAATGCATTAATTACAAACTTTTGCTTCGATTAATGCAACAATTGTTGCTAGTTTACTTTTGTTACCTCATGAATTCTCAAAGAGCCCTAGTTGTTGATTGTAGCTAAAGAACCATAGAATAGTGTTTGTTCACGTTTGTGCTGCAGGATGACATCACTCAGTTTATTGCAGCGCTTTGACATCTGACTGTGCTCATGTGACATGGCTGACCTCTAGTGGTTTGGTTGAACAGCATCACATGCACAGGTGTAACAGCCTTGTCAAGTTGAACAAGGAAAATAAGGGAAAATAAGCAGACAGACAGATTATTCATGCTGTTTCCATTTGTACAGATCAACCTAAGCGTCAGACTTTATAGGGTTAACAATGACACTAGTGTAGCACTCAGTAGAGCGCGTACCTCCGTCAAGGCCAAAAAGTCCCACATTCAAATTCACTACATCTGGTATTTTATTTGGATCGGAACCAAATTGCTCGCTCTCATTAATGTCAGTCCCCTAAACATGCCTGCAAAATTAAGATCCATGAATTACTCTCTGAGAAATCAAGGAAAATGTTGAAAACCGCTCTAATGAGAAAGAATATTGGACCTGATACAGATCCACACCAAAGTACAATGGGTTCCTCCCAGTAAGCATCAATAACCAGCAAAGCACGCCATCATCTTTGTTAACACCAGGGAGAAGCCACAGCAGCGCCCGTGTCAGACAGGGGGGCTCCTGGCAACAGCGAGGGACTGGCAGCTGAAGGTCAAACTAGCGAGACGGGTTATGGCATCATACCAGTGACCACGCTCAGGCCAGACATGGTGTGTGTGTGTAGGAAACAACAGAACCCGTGGACCTGCTGGAGTTGACTGGTCCTTGGAAAGTCCAAATGGAGGAGGAAGTGGGACAATGCCCCTAATATGCCCTTAAGCAAATACTGAGGCAGGTGGTGGTGCAACCCCATAGAGGACAGATGCAAAGGCTTGACAGAGCACTTAAGACCTTAGCGACCAAGGGCTGCACAAATAGAGAGCCACCAGAGAAAAAATCAAGATGGCTGCGGATCAAGGCAAAATGCACTATACATATCAATCTTACCACCAACATTATATGACTGTATCCTTTAGCAGAGCTTAGAACATGCCCCTACTCTGATGGCAATCAAGTTCCCTGATAACAAGTATTCAAAAGATAATTAGACTAAAGTTTTGTACGACTCAAAATGTAGCTATGCATTGTGTTTGTGTCTTGTTATGTATTGTTAACCCACTGAAGAGTTTACGTTCCTTTAGAAGATAAATTCACTGTAGATTTTAGCTAATGCTAACTGTTTGCAATGTTTTCCCTCCTAGTGAGCGCACTAGAGGTTCTAAACTTCGTGAAATTAACGTTCCTAAAAGTGATGAGATGCAATCTCCGCTCTGATATTTTAGCTGACCTGTAACCACTTGTTAGCCTTGCCAGACGAAAAGTCAACGCACGTTTGCTAGAATACATCCACTCACATGATAGGCGCACAGCTTAAGTGTCCTGCAGTGTGCTTGTGCCAGTGCAGGAAGGTTCCGCCTGGGAGAAACTAATGACGTCTGTGACATTCTGCCTGGGGTGGCCAATAGGGTGGCCAAGATTCAGCGGGATGTGGCCACCCCCAGCTCCGCCACTGATGAAGTCATGTCGACAAGGAGCAGGAGTGTTTTGAACATCTTGTTGAATCCATGTCACAAAGAACTGATTTGAGAGAAAAGGAAGAACTAAGAAAGTTTATCAAAGTGCAACAACGAAAAGGTAATTTCATGCACATGAGTCATGTCCATACTAAATATCAGGACTGAAAACAAACTGCATCAGCCTTTGTTTTATCTTCTTGAATGCATCTGTGGTAGAACTTTTAAACCCTAACTGTTCAAATAAGGAAGAGTAAAATGAGAGTTGGGACATTTGTGGCTCAATATTTCCAAATGGAAAAATGACAACATGTTAATAGGGTGCATCAATTCCTATTTATAGTCCTGGAAACCTTTCAGCTTTTCCAGGTGATTTCCTCTGTATCAGTTAACCTTTGCTCGGGCAGGATTCCACTCTGAATACCTTACACCCTCAACTGAGTCAGCTCAATATCGACGCTCGGATCATTTGGCCACTGACAGCGGACTTTGTCCCTCTGCTTTATGAGGAAGTCTTGGGCGAACAATGTGCTCGACTGGTGAACAAGATTAAAATATCAGCTGCATTTGTACGAAAACGTCAATAACAGAGACGGAAGTCAACATCCAGCTGCTAGACGTCACAGGTAAGAATTTGTCACATCACAGTCAACAGAAAACGAAATCATTTCTGTTAGTAAACTGTGGTGAGGACACCTGACAATTAGAGCGTCTCATTCAACACAACTTTAATTTTAAATTTAAGCTCACATTACCATAATATTATCCATATTCCTTATATGAAATAATATCTTTAGGGCAGTTTTAATTCAGATAAAAGTCTTAACTGTGTTAAAAAAAAAATTACAGTTTGAAATCTGTCGTTATTATCTTATCAAATATGTTTACACACAGTTGTCGGAAAAGTGTTTAAAATATGCAAATCTTGAAATATTCTAACAGCACCATGATGCTGTTGTTATGAGGATGATCATGTGTACCCAGGTGAGCGGATCTGCTCGACTCATTTCTTGCTTGATAACTGTATTTATTACTGATGTTTGGACAAATACATATTTGACTTAGCTCATATTACATTAATAAAACATGTCATGTGATACTGCAGGCGTGCCAGCTCAACACTGACAATGCTCAGGAGGGACAGTCCCTTTGGTAACAACACCAGCAGCTATGCAGGATCGATCCAGTCTAAGTATGTGATTGATTGATTGATTGATTGATTGATTGATTGATTGACTGATGTTGGTATTTATTGGTGTAAATTACTTGGCTTTTTTCTGACAGTGGTTATTCCAGTGCTGTTGATGATGTGTCATCACAGGTCTCAAACGTGTCGAGGCTCAGTGCAAAGTCAATTTACTGTGAGTTCACGCTGCTGTGTTCAACATAACAGGTGGTTTCACCTGGTCAGTTTAATGTTGTGAATAATACAGAGCTCTGCTTTATGTTTCAACAGTGCAGAGGAAGATGTACGCAGTGTCTTTGAACAAGATGATGGACAAATTTCAGTACAGAGTGGAGGTATTATACATAACGTTAGATAGATGATTAATAGATAGATGTACCTTATTGATGCTGAACTGTGACAGCATTAGTATTAGTGTTAGCATAACAGTGTTAGCATATATATATTGTATATGTGTGTGTGTGTCACAGCACCTGTTCACCTGTGACCTGGATGGGAAGGAGCTGAGGAGTGTATCAGACTGTGTGGAGCGTCTGAAGCTGCTGGATGGGATGGGTCGTGTGTGGGGTCAGAACATGATGCTGGGGGTGCGAGGAGTCAACCTGCTGCTCACCGACACTGACACCAAGGTGAAGAGCATGAAAGCTATGGGAGGCCGAGGTTCTCATTGACCTATATGTCAACAGGACGTGAAGGACACTGCATGGATTAATGAGTACGAACATTTACGGGACAGAGAAGCATTCACTCTGTGGCCTCTGTTTGACAAAAGATAAAAAGACAGAATAAGAAAATACATATTTAACTTGTGTGTGTGTCGATCAAGCGACAAAGACTTATCATAAGATGCCAGAGAATGCATTTGGATATGGTAGTAGGAGAATTAATTAAGAAATAATGGATGCTCATTTTGTGATATTTATAAAGAAATAATTAGTGTGCATATTTATCTGCACATGTGTTTACACTGAGCAAACAACCAACTTCCTATAATTGGTTCTTGGTTGATGTTACGATGTAAGTTCCATTTGAATTTATTTGGTATTTATAGCATTGGCAAGATTGTTGCTGCATTCATTTGGTTTGTTTTTTGAGAGCATGGAAACTAATGTAAACCAGCCGACACAAAAAAAACCTATTCATTTGAAAGTGTGTGTGTATTTATTCAGGAGGAGCTGGAGTCGCTAGCTCTCAGTGACATCGTGGAGCTGAAGGCGATGCTGAACACTGGCATCTTCAACTCCCTGCTCACTGTGTCGGTTCAGCCAGGGAGAAAAAAGACAACCACTGTCTACATGTTCCAGTGTGAGGAAGTCAGGGTGAGGACAAAGACATGGACGTTAACTTTATTATGACTGATAAATTACTAAATGAGTTAATGTTTTTATTTATAGGCTGACTATGTCCAAAAGGATCTGTCACAGGCCCTGTCACGCAGGAGAGAGAATCCAAGCCTCTAGTAAGAACCTTGGGAAAATGTCATTGAATACATACTGCACACTCGAGGCTTTGTTGATTTGTGCCTCTCACACTTTTTAAAAAGCAGCACTTCACAAGTTAAAGCCACCCACAAAGGAGAGAACAAATGTAATGCTGCAAAAGCCTCTGAGGTGGAAGAGGAGGAGGAGGAGGAGAAGGAGGAGAAGGAGGAGAAGGAGGAGAAGGAGGTCCATGAGCCTGAGCTGTTTGTGCATCATGAAGAAGAGGAGGAGGAGGCCTCACCTTTCAGAGAGGAAGTACCGTTACCACAGCTCTCCAGCGCTGAGGAGGGTCCTCCACGTCCATACACAGAGCTGGACAGGAGTGTGGTTAGTGCACCTTATCTACACATGAAACAGGAAATCTATATTTGTGAACTGAAAACATGTTTGAAACAAGAATTAACTCTCTTTGTCTGTCTGCTGCAGTTGAACAGTCCAGTATCAGACAATATATACATTTTCTCACGAGGTCACCATGACCTTTGACCTTTTACTACTGAAATCTAATCAGAATCCAAGTTTGCAGAAATTCAAAACTGACTGATTTAAGATATTATGCTAAATCATGGCAAAACTCAATTTTTTTTTAAGTGACAGTAGCCTTGACTCTTAACCTAAGGAACCTAATAGAACATGTGTGTTCCTGAGGTATCACATTCACTTGTGTTTAGAGAAGTCAACCAAAATCTTACCAGGTCATCCATGAGTCCAGATGCATTGTGTCAGATGTAATGAAATTCCCAACGGCCAGCCCTCACTTATTATATTCACAGGAACGTGACGTCACCGTGATCTTGACCATTTGTGCCAAGAATGGAACAAATGGACAACCTGAAAACATAATATCAGTGCCCTGATCCTGACTGAATTTTTCATCAAGATCGATTAATTATTCTTCTTGAAATCAAGGAAAATGTTGAGATACACCTTATCTCAAAATGTTAATGCAGAAAAAGCAATTATAATTATTATTTGTAATAATTGTACAGTTGTAGTACTAGTAGCAGTAATAGTAGTAGTACTATTTATGCAAAGTATATATGAATATATAAGGATAATATAGACTTTCTTTCTTTCCAGGACATCTTAAATCATATTGTAAGTGACATTGAAATCTTCATGGGACAAGTTGCTGCAGTCGTATCTAAAAATGCAAAGAAAAAGAAGAAGAAGAAAAAGGGGAAAGGTAATTGAATCCAATACACATTGAATCTTAATGTCAGTATATTTACATAATGAGCCACCAGTAATCTTAAACATTCTTAACATTTTGATTTGTCTCAGTCATGGACGGCATGCCTCCTGCAAAAGAGTTTGCAGAGTGTCTCCATAAGATCAAAAGTGGTTTCAACCTTCTGGTGCGTGTCCTTTATCATATTTACATACAGTCATCATGTATGTTACATTCATCACGTTTATATTCCTGGTCCCTCTGTGATGTACATGTTTTATTTTTCAGGGGGAGCTCAATGGACAGATCAAAAATCCCAGCGCTCCTGAATTTGTTCACGCCATCTTCTCCTCATTAGCATTTGTAAGTCAACTTATCTCCTATATCTGAATTGTAAGTGTGAGAGGGGGGTGCACATGTGTGGTCCAATTAGCATATGAATAGCAGTGAAACCCCTGGTCCAGACAGTGTGGAGAACATACACTTCCACAGCGATTTACAGTGCTGCTTACTGACGAAAATCCCACTTTTCATGCAACGTTTCTTTATAATTCATGGATTTCTTTATGTTATAAAAACATCATTCATGGCTCATTAAATCCCAGGCTGTGCCCATTTCTGCATGTATTTTGTTGATGTGCAGACTTGAATCAATCCCACAGGACGAGACGTTCACACAGCAGCGACCACGCTGCACATACTTTCATTAAAACTGATCATTTTTCTCTGCAGGTAATATGTCAATGTCCCGAGGATCTGCCACAGACCATCGTGGCTCCACTGCTGACGCCTCAGTGTATCCGTTTCATGAGCGAGGAGGCGTCTCCAGAGGAGGACCAGCTGTGGCAGTCTCTGGGAGACGCCTGGAACATCCCCAGGTGGGAAGCAAGAAGATCTGTCTAAGATCTAGCAGACTGCTGTATGTGTGTATGTGTGTGTGTGTGTGATATAGATAGATTACTTTATTCATCCCCGGAGGGAAATTAAGTATGGTGCCAGGATGATGATCAGGTATGATTTTGATGTGTTATTTCAGCACCAAATGGCCAGAGGATGATGAGGACATCCCGACATACACTCTGACGTTCTTTGGTGGCTGGCAGCCTCCTGAAGTATCTGCACTCAGTGAACCTGTGAGCAGACAGGAGAGTCCACAACCTGCACCCAGCCAGGTACAACACACACACACACACACCCACACACACACACGCACACGCACACGCACACACACAGGACTGCAGATGAAAACCTGGCTACACTGGCATATTTACAGAATTGTTGATCTAAGTGTTTATTTCCATAAATAAATCACAGAAAAAAAAGTTAACTTATGGAAAAAAAAAAAAAGTAAATAACAATAAAACCCTTTTCTGTGTAGACTCAGAAACAACAACCCCTCCCTCAAAAAGCTCGGTATGTACAAGCACACAAAGTCTATTTAAGCATTGTGGGGACATTTTAAACCTGTTTAATCTTTTCTGGTTTTCAGCTCAGGTGAATCCAAACCACGTCACATGCGAGTTATGTACGACTTCGTTAAAAGAAACCACATAGAGCTCACTGTCACTAAAGGGGAAATGGTTGAGGTGAGTTTCAGTGACATGAACCAACTACTTTTTATTCTTCTTCTCTAACTAATAGCTCATCCTTTGATTTAATAAGTGGGATTCTTCAGGAACAAGGCTGATCTGTGTTCTGTCTGTCCACAGCTGCTGGACATGTCGAAGCAGTGGTGGAAAGTGAGAAACAGCAGAGGAGAGGAGGGATTTGTTCCTAATAATGTGTTGGTGCCTCATGATGAAGAACAACCTGACAAGGTACAACAATACAAGAACAGCATGGCTCAACTAAGTGTAATGGAAAACCTCAGAAACCACTGATGTATTAAAACCTCAGGCTCTCAGTATGCTCATCTCCACTGAGAGGGAGTCAGTTCAAACTGTATTTTTTAATACAGAGTTTACTTATCAATCAGTGTGATTGTGTGTAATTCTGTGGATACTCAGTATCAAATAGTGCAGAGATACCTGATACTCAATGATTTTGACATTTTGTCTGAGAGTAAATTAGACTGGAAAAGTCACCTCTACAGCAACAACAACAATGACAATGATAAACTCAAATCGTCTTCTCAGGAAACTTTTGGCTCTCCTGTCCTGACAAAGAAGTCCAGGCCTGCAGAGGTGAAAGCCTGGCTGGAAGACAAAGGCTTTAGTAAAATGTAAGTACACACTCATAACATTTAGTAAGATGGTGGAATAAGAGCAACTGCATGAAGATCAGAGTAGATTTGGTTGATGTCTTATAAATATAAGAAACTATACTGAGTTGGAACAGTTTCATGTGACTTCCATCAGCCTTTTAATATACATGTACATATGAGTGAATTAGTGAATGTGATGATGTGTGTTGAACATATCTACATCTGTTTCTCACTCACTGGGATGAACAGTCACACAGAATGAACACTAAGAGAAATGTACTTGTAATGAAACATGTTTAGAATCCCTCGTTTTAGGGTGTGAGTGACTTCATTACATAAAATTAAACTCATACATGAATATATTTATATATATATATATATATATATTAAACAATCTATTTAATCAAATCAGTTATTTGATTTATTCACAATAACTCAACATGATAGAAAATACTATTGAATTGAATCATAAAATGTGATGCTTTAAATTCAACTTGTGTAATAAAGTTACATGGAAATTTAATATGCAATTACATAAAGTCCCAGTTTTAGTCATAATTATATTTTTGCATCTGTAAATGATTTAATTGTAATTATTATTAATACATGAAATGAAGCCTTATCGATTAAACCCTTATCTCTGGCAGCACTGTGCGCTGTCTGGGCGGGCTGAGCGGCCCCATGCTGCTGGGGATGAGCAGAGAGGAGCTGAAGACCGTGTGTCCAGAGGAAGGAGGACGAGTCTTCTTCCAGCTACAAGCTGTCAAGTCCACACTGGCTGTAAGTCACAGATCACAGAGCAGCTTCAAGTCTGTCTAATGGAGATTTATTCTCATCATTCTAATGGTAAATTCTGGTGTAAACACAGACACTGTCTCCGTTTTATGTTTCAACTCTGTAGGCTGCCAGTTAAAGTGAGAGCATCAAGACGACATTGAAGAAAGACAAGGAAACAGGTCCCCAGTGTTTTGATAGGTAGTGACTGATATGTCATTTTAAAGGTATACTAATAAAGTTGTCTGGTGTCAGTCAGAAAGAGTTACATGCTATTTAATCAGTAAATTTGATTGAAAGTGTAAATAAAATAAGGTACAGTGAAAAACAAGTGAATTCTATAAATAAATGACCTTCAGCACAATGACTAAGTGAATAAACATGCTTTATTCCATTGTTCAGACGTTACACATGAATCTTATCAGAAGTATTTGAATGTGTAAAACACTGGTGATCCATTTCAGGCAATAAGGTGGCTACAGATAAATTAAAAAATCGAAATCAAAAGTAACGAGACTGTGTAAAAACAAAAAAACTGAGAAAAAATCTCAAATACACACAAACAACTTTAGAGTTAGAGATCCTTTTCTCATTTAACAAACCAAGCAACTAATCAGAAAGTAATCAGTAGTAATCAATGGTGAAAATATTCTATATGCCAAAAAGATCAAACCAACGATCAGAGATTAGTATTTGTGAGGTAGGGTGCACTGATAAATGACGCTGTGGTGTAGTGGACGTTTAGAGAGTAAATAACATGTTGTGAAGATGAATGGATGGAAACTGAGTGGATGGAAAACATTTGAATCCAGATCCTAAATGTCTTTCGGTGATAACGTATCACAGCAGATAGACTGTCATCAAAAAGGTATCTCCATGGTTACTCTATAAAATGAGGTCAACCGGGTGGAACATTGTAGCTAGTAAATGGTTGATAACGAAATGAAGCTAAAATTATTTAATACGCAATACACTTAAATATATTATGTGCTTTGCCTGTGGAGTAATGGTACCAGGACAAGTCACATAGACTGTAAGTAAAGATGGACGACGCGTCTTCACTTCCTCCAACTATCCAGAAATGAAACCAAAAAACCCGGGATACGAACGCTGCCATCTTGTGCATTTGGAGCCAGAGTCTGGTCCATGTCCCATCCACTAACATGGAGGAGGTGGGATTTATGCCCTGTACTGTAGCCAGCCACCAGGTAGTGATAAAGAAGCTTTGAGGAGCCGTCATGTTGTCCATCTTTATATACAGTCTGTGCTAGATCACAGGCATCTAACAAAAACAACAAGTCGCCTGTGCTGATGTAGAATATGTTTTTGGCTTTACAGTGAGAGGTATCAGTCATGTACCTTTTGTCATGAATGTTACATGTGTACTAACAAAATAAGAATAACCAGGGATAAGTAATAAAACATGAGGGGAAACAGTTACTGTGATATTAAACAGACAAATTATTAAAGAAATTTAAAAAAGGCAAAAAAATATTTTTAAAAAGCATTGACAATAAAACTCTCTATTTTCATGACATAGGCTCTAATCCACAATCAACAGCAACAAAACTAAGTGTCAAACCTTGACATCCATAAATTGTGAATATAAAATTTCTTATCTCTACATTGCCTTTAAAAAAATACACTTTATACATGAAATCCAATCATTCAAATCCAGTGCATCCCTTCAACACGTCTCATCTACTGTCCTCTTCCTGAATCATGATTGGTTTTCACCTTTCTCTCATTATCTATAAAGCAAACACGTATACATCCTAAAACAATACATCTGTTTATTCATATGAAGGCTGAAGTTATCTGATTCATTATCGTCTAATCTTGGCATCATAAATAACCCGACAGTAGTGTCGAGGTTTAGGAAGAATGTTCACAGTTTGGTGGGAGGTTGGACAGTATCCAGTGACAGGAGAGTGGTTGGATAACACGATGACGGTGTGAGACAAAAAAATCTGAGACGTGTGATCCCAGCTTTAACAGATTTTGGGGTGAGCTGGAAGCAAATGCTACAAGAGACCATGTGACGGTCTTAACCATGACCCAGCAGGGTTTACTCATGTCCCCACTGTGAGTCTTATATCTGCTGTAATATTCACCACAGACAGTTTTGCTTTATGTTACAGCTTTGCTGTAAATATCATTCTCTCCTGTCATCACTTATTCATGCAGGCATGCAAACACGCACTCACAGCAGAGTATTAAAGCCACATCAACCCCTCTCCTCAAAAGAAGGCCTAGATAAAACTGTTAGACCAAGCATGCAGCTGGATGGTTTCAGTTCCGCCGGCGTGGACATTACAACAGCATAAAGGCCGACTGTACAATGACCGAGGAGCAAATATGCAATAGCTGTTTGCATGTAAACAAATTTGGAGAGACGTGAGCGTATAGTTCCCAAAGCTGAAAATGAAAAGGCACTGTGAAGTCGTGGTGCATATGTACAGTGCATGGCATGCAGAAGGAAAGAAAACCTCCCACGACGGGAAAGGAATGAGAGTGATAGGGGCCAGAGAGGTGAGAACGTTCTCCTCAGGCAACACTGAACTCCTCCACACTTACTTGTGCTGATTATAATCTACAATACTCATCTCCATCTATTTCTCACAGAAATATCAAAACAAAATGATTTTATACATTAACTGGAACTTATTTCTGTTTGCTTCATGGAATGTCTGCAGTCAACCACAGAGGGGCTGAAGAGTTTCTCTCTTTTCTGTCAAAGTAGGAGCAAATCTAAATTATATCCTGTGTGTGCAATATGAACCAAGCACAGTGCTGATAGTCAGCACTGCTGCATTCAGACAGAACAAAATCAAGCCTAACGCCACCTGTCAATGTTTGATCTGTAGGTTTGTCAAACTTTGACCAACAATCTCACACAAGTATTACAATAAAATGTAATCTGTAATCCATTCATTATGAATCTGTAAGATGAAAATGGATATTATTTAAGGAGTATGAATGTGAAGAGGAAGATAAACAAGAACAATAGAACTGGTTTACTGTTCTGAATGTTTAAATGTTTGTTATCAGTACTTCTGTAAATACTACAGATATTTCTCACTATACCTGCTTTCAGACATGTTCCGAACTCCAGATAATCTCAGGAAATTATCCGATGGGGCTGCATTTGAGAACACAAATGTCCAAGTCATTTGTGTGCCTGCACCCAAGTAAAATGTCCGCAGAATCTCAGAGTACGACCATGTGATAACACAAAGGGAGAATATCCGGAGGTTTTACAGCAAGCGAGTCTGCAATGTTGAGGACGTTTCTGACACACAACTGACGAGAAACTGGAACACTATAATATTCCAGGATGAAGTTGAGGAGCCAAACGCGTAGAAGACGCACGCAAAGATGTCAACTTGGAAAGACGACGCCATTTGAGAGCTTTTGGCGATAACAGCTGATACTAATGTTGATTTGCTGTAAACAAAAACATGTGATCATCATGTTCTGGCTCTTGGATGCTGCGCCACCCCTCAGATGAACGCTGAAAGATTATTATGTTGTTGTGAATGTGTCTGAGCGGAGAATCTCCTTCACCATTATTTATCCATGAAAGGCAAACTCGGGAGAAAATGCAGACCCCATTGTGAAGACATTATCTGGCGTTCATGTCTGAGAACTGCTTTTGTATTATTTTTGATGAAAACATATCACTGGCTCAGTGTTTCACATTATGTTATTATATTATTATCATCCCTTTATATTACCCACTATATTATTATATTTATGACATAAACTGTGGAACAGTCTAATTTCTCCCACTACATTTAAAATAAACCAAAAATATTTTATCCACAGATTAATTTGTGGCAGCCAGTCAAACTCGTGGACTGGCTGTGTGGCTGGTGAGGTAAACACTGGCTTCTAGTGTTTCCCTGCTGTTCATCACAAATTCATCCCTGCTGACCTTCCTCATGCTTAATGTGACAACATGACAAACAGAGGTGGAGAAAACACACGTATAGATTTTATATTTTAACAATAAAATGGATTTACAATCCATTCGTGCAACATAAAAAATGTCAACGGAAGTTGATGAATGTCGAGGTTGTGGCGCTCTAGCAGCACTGTATCCTTGGCTTGTTCATATCTGTGTAGATGTGCGGCATACGTCTATAGTGATGGCTGGTGGTGTTTATACTGTATGTAGAATGACTCTCCCACTGTCCCTCAAGTGACATGCTAGGTTTACCAGAACCGACCACCAGTGATTTCAGCGCTGGCTGGGCAGAGGGCCCATGGACAGAGAGTCCTCCTCATCGATAGTGTCCAGCTCCTCGGTGCGCACGGCCTGGGTGATGAGTTGAAGCTCCTCGGAGAGTGTCTCGCTGCGGTACGCCACACGGATATCTGGGACGTTAGTGCGGCGGATGTCGTTGCTAATAGGACCCTCTTTGGAATAACTGGGGCCCAGCCAGTTACGTTTGACCTGGAGTCAGGAGAAAGTAAATGAGCAGGAAAATCAGATACGGCTAAAATACAGAAGAAAACCAACACCTGACTGAAAGTGATTTGACACGTTTTGTAAATTTAGTTCAGTTTTATCAAATTCATATCAGATTCCAAGTGTCTCACAACTTTGAAAAGTCTAAACAATGTAGAGTCTGTGTGACATACAAAAACAGATCAACAAATTAAATACACTAAATTAGAAGAGCTATGACCTGTACCTTGTTTGAAAATCCGCTCATAAGAACACTGTTTCTTGCCAGCTCACACATGTCACAGGAACTCAGTTTCCACACTTGAGCAGCGATACTGTACTCCTCCATAAGAGGCTCCTGGGCGCAGAGAGACACACACAGACACACGAATATTATGTGATTTCAACCTCACCACTGATCTTCTAATGAATGATGATGTGAACAATGTTCAGTGAAACCCTCCTTCACACTGACCTTGGTGAAGTGGAACTGAAGGGGATCATCAGTGGACAGAGATATCATGAGGCCTCTGGACAGATACTCTGGCAGTGGGTTGCGATGGTAACTGAGGAACAGGCTATTGTTACTCAGTGGGGACATGGCAATGCCAATCTGAGCCAGGTAGTAAAGATACTGCAGCACCGGGGCCTGACAGTGTGAGAAACATAGAGACACACAAATAGTCACAGGTTGATAGAGAACATCTTTGTCTTAGATTTCTTAACAGAGCAGCATTTGGTAGAATTGACTTCGCTATTTTAGGACAAAGACACGTCTTCTACTGAATGCAGCTGCTGACCGCTTGTCTCATACACTCAACAGTATTCTTTCAATTGTATCCCAAAGGGGATACCGGACTGTAACCTGAACTTGAATCCGTTTGACCTTCTTTTATGTAATTGTTTGCATGTTTTCACACAGATTTATCATGGAATGAAGTTTTATGTTTGTGACGGTTTATTTTTCTGTGTTTTGCTAGTCCGAGATCACAACATGTTTTATTAGTATTGATGAATAAACTCAACCTTGAACCTCTTCATAATGCCACGAGTAAAGTCAGAGTCTCATTTGAAAATGTCTGAAGCAGAACCTTTTAAAAGAAAAAACAATGAGTTGAGTCTGTCCCGCTCTGACCTTTCTGAGCAGCAGTCCATGAGAGATGTTCTCTGATAGTAAGAAACCTGACACCAGGTGATGGATCGGCCCCGCCTCCCCACAGTGAGGTCTCAGGACAAACGTATGAAGGCCTCGCTGACTGTGTCAGACAACCATATTTTAAAAAACAGGGTTAGCGTATATTTATGTTTTATTGTTATTGCGTGAGTAATACGTCTTGTATGTGATAAACGTGTCCGGTGGCTCGTACATACCTCCGCAGGTGGTTGAGCACAGTCATGTTGGCGTAGGTATAGTAGAGGTAGTAGGAGTAGGGCGGGTTGTCCTCTTCTGTCCAATCGGCCGGCAGCGGACTGTCAAGGCTAAAAATGTGGTGCTCAGGTTTGGACTCGTCGTCCACGCTGTCAAAGCCCACCACCTGTTCGTACATAGGCATCACAAAAAAATTCAGTTTCTCTGAGTGTGAATTATCAGGAAAGCCAGGATTTCACATGAAGTGATACCCACATGTTCGAGGAAGAGATGCAGCTCGGGATGACTGCCGGGGTTTATTGTGGCTTCAAACAGTGGCATGAAGATGTTCTCCAGCATCTCCTGGAAATTAGCCAGCTGCTTCTTTGTGTGGTACACGTCACTGGAGAGGGGGTGATCAAACAAAGACACTTGTTATTATTGCAAAGATCATTAACATCCTTATTTCCTATGTATATTTTATTGTAGATTAAGTTAGAATCCATGCCTATAAGATAAATGTATTTTGCTTGTTTCTCTCAAGTAGACTAAAACCATGTAGACAGGATAACAGCACACATAACACAGAGTGGATCATGTGCCCAGAACCTTCACTATATCAAATTAGTTGATTCCTCTTGGTTTATTCTCTAATAACAACTTTGATGAACGTTTACCGACCAGAAACTGCATGGAAGCTGGAAGTCAGTCAGAGTTGAGAATATTAAGGCTATGTAACAACATCATGATAAATGCAGTGCTACAACAACATTTATTTCCGTCAGCCCGCCAATTTCCAGCGTCCTTGCCAGTAACATCAGTAAAGGACCCTCAATCCATAGACATATTATTGAGAGTGTCCTCATATATGTGCTGCAAAGATCATACACCTCACCAAATGGTAAAGTAAGCCGAAGGTTTACTCACAATAGACGGGGCACCTGGATAAGCCAGCGCACATTATCAGAGTACACACGGTGTTTGACAGCCCACTCGGACAGCTTGTCCCATTCGTCTCGGGAGCGGCCATAGATGGACAGACGCAGCTCAGAGTTCTGGTACTTGCTCTCCTCCAGGTCATACATCACCTCCTGAACAGATGTCACAAGACAAGAGATACAGATTCATCAGTCTGTACATTTAATTTGGATTTGTAAAAAAAGAATAAATGAATTTGTTCACACCTTGACTATGTGTGCAAAGTATTTTCCTTCGATGTGGTTGTCCGTCTTGATGAAGATCTCTCTGAGGATGGATTCTCCGATGGGGTTGTATTTGGCATTAAACTTGTCAAAGCGATGGAACGTGTTACGGTCCTGAGAATTAGGAGAAAGCAGTTACATCTAAATTGTATTTATATCCCATTCGTCCAACATTATTTCTTAAACTAGCACAATTCCTTTTCTTTTTTTTTGCTGCTGGTGCCATTTCTCACCGCATGCATGTCGAGAGTGTCAACACTCAGGTCGAAGGCTGTGAGGTTCATGCTCTCGAACACATCCTTGAGGGTCTGACCCCGGCCGTGCTCAATATGAACGATCTCCCCAGGGTATTTTTTCATGGCTCTCTTGATGAATCGCAGCAGGTGCTTCTGGTTCATACAGGACGATGCATGTATATGCGTGTCCACCTGGAGTGGGCACAACGCAGAACCACAACAACAATGAGAATATCCCTTATAAGATGGAACAGTGTAGAATGGTATTTTCGGTAAATGTTTGCAGATGTGGTTCAGACAAAAAGATTTGCAGGTTTGGGTGAGGTTTTGTTCCGTTGGCTGGGCTATCCACTTTATTTTTTACAATGGTAGTGCCTGAAATCTGGGCAAGCATCAAGCTTGGGGGGTTGGGTTCTGACACAAAAATCTGAATACCTTACAACCTTTGTAATTAATAAATTGTTGTAGTTGTGGAATTGTTGTAGCTAAGTGATATCATCATAAACATAGTGATTTTTTATCACAGACAGATAATCTAGTAAAGACGACAGCAGCAGCTGCAGTTGATAAGCTCTTGCCTTTCGGATGTTGTAGAAGTCTCTATGAGGAACCTTCTTCTGAGCAGCGAGCTCCTTCATCTCGTTCAGGAGGATGTGCATCTGGAACTTAGAGCTCAGGTACTGGAGGCGGCGGTAGCAGAAAGACTTCCTGTGAAGAGCATACAGAGGAGACAAAGACATTTGTCTTTTAAAATATGCATTGAACTACTCACACGTTTGAAGATACTTTCAAAGAATCACTTACACTGGCCCGTTAATAATGAGGGACATCATAACATTCATGTCTCCAATGTACTCCTTCAAGTCAGGATATGGTAAGTCCAATTCTTCACTTCTGAAAGAGATTATTAAAGTTTCACAAACAGGCTCACTATTTGAATTAATGTGTCATCATACAGGCACAAACACATACTTGTCCATGTTGCTTTTAGTGGTGTAGACATGAACTACTCCATCTACCATCTTGCATCCATATCCTGTGTCCGCTGGCATATTCATGGGGTCCTGATTGTCGTAGGGGTGTGTCTCTGAAACCGGTGGGTGGACGGAGGCGTCTGAGAAAACATGGGAGTGATATTAATGAATCCTTTCATTCTAAAATGATGAATAATAATTTAGAACCTGCTGACAAACTGTAAGAATTTGTGTTAAGTGGTGGGAGTGTTTCTCATTTCTTTTACTTCCAACAGGTTAGTATGTGGCTTCTTTCTTGATGATAGGTATGTGTTTAAACAAGTAGCTGACATAAGAAACAAAGCTTATTGTTATGATGAAGAGGAAACCAGTGAACTGCCTTTGGACCACACATGAATGAGAGTCCACTGCTTCTGTCCTTTTTGATAATCAATCTCTTATTTCTATTTCTGCCCAGTGGTGACAAAACATATGTTGCTTCCATATCCGATGTCTAGCCAACATACCAGTATCTACAGGGGTCTCTGCTACATCATCATAGACTCCAAAATCCTGAGACTTCATCCCGAGCTCCTGTAAGGCGTGAGCTGTGGTCTTACAAAAGTTCTGCATGGATCGGTTTATGTACTTCTCCCGAATGAATAAGGCCTTCACCACGCACTTAGCAGCATCAAGCAGGTCCGTGAAGGGGACCTGGGGAGACATTCAATCATTGTTATGACATTGGGTGCAATTGGAATTTATTTTTTTGGGGTTAATTTGACTGCATGTGAGATCATAGACAAATCAAAAGACAGAAATTCAGTACACACGAAAAACTCCTCACCCCACATTTTTCCTCGCCAGATATGGAGACCCGCTGGTATTCACGCTCCATTGGTATTTCTCTCTCATTGAAGCCATCATCGACAGTATCCACACTCTTCTCCTTCATTAACCTGAAAAGATTCAGAGGAAATTAAAATGTTAAACAAGAGAAAGGAGGACAAGAAGAAGAAGGTTGATAACATGTGGAGGTATGGAGGACATTTGGCCGAACAGCACTTAAAGGAGAAACTATGTTTATTTAGACACCTTCATTTAATGCAGGCATACTGTTTGTAAATGAAGTATTTCATGAATCAGTTTAAATATCAATGTAATATACTAATGCAGTAGCAGATTTGCTATTTAGGGATTAAAACGCAAAGGAACAAAAATACTCATTGAACATTTACCAAGTCACCAGCAGGGGGAGGATAAGGTTCATCTCAATAGCGTTCCTAAATACTGCAGATTTGAAACCGATTAATATACAATATTGACAAATACTAATCTACCAGCTGAGTAGCTGCAATGTTTCTGAGAGTACAAACAAAATACAGATGAATTCAGAAAATAAAATCACTACACAAGACGTTGATACTGAAGCAGAGCTCACTCACTCTAGGTCTGTCGCACTGTCGATTTTCATGAAGTCCTGTTTGGCGCGGAGCAAGATCTCTGGCTCAAGCCTTGGGGTGATATGCAGCAGCGCAGCAGAGTGAAGGCAAGGCAGGGGGCAGACGGGCGAGAAAGATTTAAGCACACAAATGGAGAGAGACCAAATACAGTGCACGAACAAACACACACACACACACACACACACACACACATTCGCACTTTCATATTCACATAAAGCCTTAGGTATTAATTGATTCAGGTACAGAACTTTTAACATCAGTTAGTAGTGGTACACCGTGATTGGTAAACAGAAGCTTGCGGGGGGACATGTCAGATAATCACCCAAACCATCGGCTTAGCAGTGTGCCTGGCGATGGCAAGAGAACCCACCTGCTCAAAAACCTTTTTGTAGTAAAAGACCAAACACCAGAACAGGGGCCACCAGCTAGCTAACCCAGTTACCTGATTGCCGGGGTTAGTTAGCCCACAAACTGGCAAGTTGGAAGCATGTGTGCAAGGGGCATGGGTGAAAGCAAGACTGTGTAAAAGTCTGGAGGGGTTGTGTTTGTCAGGAGTCAAGTAGAGAGTTTATTTAATTGTGTGTGTGAGATGTGTTTGCATTTCCTCACTTGATGTCCTGGCTGATCTGGCGCTCCAGACGGTGCCGCCGCTCCTCGAGCTGTTCGATGGGGCTGTCCTCCGGGAACTCGTACGGAGCGCTTCGCATCTTGCTCTCTGCCATGCTGAGCGTGAACAGCTCCTGGTGTCAACATAAATTTGACCAATTTTGGTGCCATGAAACAGGAAATAGGTCAATTTCCATGCGTGTGGACATATGGAAAACAATGAGATGAACACAAAACCACCTGTTACATTGACATAACATTGACACCTCTGCGGTGTCTTACTTCTTCACAGGTAAAGCATTCCTCCACCCTAAGCACCTCCAGGAGGAGCACCGCCAAGAGTCACGTGGCGACCAATCCGGCTTCTTTGTCCTCGTGGGCAAGAATACAATTAGCCTTGGGGGATGTTGACCGTGGATGCTGAGTTTAGTGTGATCAGTGCACCTTGATGTATTTTGTCCTGGTGTAGGACTAATGATAAGTGGTTATTGTTTGCTTTAATGTTTGTGAATGTTAGTAAGTAACATTTGTTCAGTTTGTTATTTTCCATTGTGCACTTCACCCAGTGTTTCTCTGTTATTTCACTTGTGGGTGACGGCTGGAATGTGTTTATATTTATGAGGTGAGAGTATGTTTGGCAGGAGGGACAGTTTTTTGTTTTTCTTTGAGTGAAACCGTGAGTAAGGGACCACGATAAGGAAGAGGGATGGTTTTTGTTCTTTTCATGAGTCGGCGTCACCCTCCACCCATTGTGCCTGATTTTGTCTTTACTGTTTGTGGTTTATGTAACACATTTAGCACAAAAAGGGCTGTGTTGCCACACACCCTGGGTGCTGTGTTGCTTCCCTTTTCTCCTAGATAAAATCTGGGTTGTAACAAGTATAACAAGTTAGTTAACTGTTTTGTTATGGATTAATATTTTCATCCATCCTCCGAGACTTTTAAACCTGCCAACTTAATTTTTTATTGTTTAAAAGTCATAAAAAACACCAGTGACATCGGATTAAAATATCTGACTGATTAAAAATGAAGCTAGCTTCATTTTATGTAGACTAGCTGTGTCTGAAAATTGAGAGATGTTTGAAGTGGGCTGCCAGGGCTTTACAGGACACTTTAATCCACAGAGCATTTAACATGCTGGGCATCACGAGGGCTGCCAAAAAAGAAAGACAAAAAATCCATAACAGAAACCGCAGAGAGAGACACTAGGGGGCTGTGGATCAAGAGGGCGGATCTGTTGGCAGCTGCTGCTGGGATATGTAAGCTAGGGGCTTATCAGACCTGGATCCATCACCTGAGCGAGTGGGTCTGAAGAGAAAATACCAGTGACTCTGTGTTTCTGTAATTTTACTGCTTAGAAACGACATGTGTCTGATTTCATTTCCTACCTCTGCAATCTCTTTGTACTTTTCTTCCATGGATGTCCGCAGGTCAATCGGGTAGTGTGTGAGAGAAACAGGCGTCCCTGGCAGGGATCGCTGGGGCTTGAGGGGCTTGGACCCAGATGCACCACAAAGATCTGTAAAGCAGACACACACAGTTATATTGCGGTGATATCAACACATAGAGTCTCTGTGATGTTCCGTCTTCACTTTCAGATTACCCAGTAAAGGCAAAGACAATGGATTACAAAAAAAAATTACAAACTGCAAAAACTGTACTTTTGCAGCCATTATTCAAACATGAAACAGCACCATTGCAAACAGCCAGAATGCAGAACCGTTTAAAGTGTTGCTGTTAAGTAATCATTAATGTCATTTGTAAAAAGATAGTGGTGATCTCATTACACTTTTCTGTGATCAATGCACATTCTCTTAACTATGGAAAATTTCAGCAAAGTAAAAATACTTAAACGCTGTCTAGTGAATAGTATTTTGAGTAGGTCCTCTTTTGCCACTGGTGGTTACATGGTTTACTTTTCCACATCTGGAGACACAGAATGTAATTTTAATGTAAAATGTAGCTTAAACTTGACCATCATTTATCATCCTGGCTGAGATAAGACAAATTTGACAATTCTTTATCATTCTATGGAAAACAGCGACAGACAGATAAAGTACTAGGATTTTACTAAACACAACTAACAGGCCTCCACCACAGAGGAATTGTTCTCATTAATGATCAATCTTTGGAAAATAACTTTTTGTTTTCTTCCCTCAGCTTCATGAACACATTGTCCCATTTTCTCCAAACTAAACAGAAGACATCAAAGGCAAAGACACCAGTTTCAAAACAAACAGTCAGACATAAGTTAAACAAAGTCAAACGGGGCATGACGACGATTACCTCTGGGGACAGTGACTGCAGCTTTAATATGCAACAGAGCATGAAAATCCTTGTAAAATACCCAACAACAGCCGGATTAAGGGAAGACAGCTGCCCCAACAGATACTGTGTCACTTCACTTGCACGTGGGCCTGCACACACTTGAAAAAGAAAAACCCCAACACACATGTACATATGTGACACTTGCGTAAAAACACCTGAGAGTGACACAGAGGGGCCACCCTCACTCCAGACCTGCTGAAAACAGATGACACCAGTTCCACTCCAGACTAAACCAAACACAATAGAGGAGAACGACCCAAAAACTAAATACAGCCTGGTGCACAGAGAAAAACCAAGCTCACCTATTTCTGTGAACTTTCTAAACACAGCCATATATTTAACTTTAAGAGAACTATAATTTATAGAATGCCAAGTCTAAGTGCAGACAGAGTAATTCACTCATTAACTCAAGAGTGAGGCTTTGTGTTTTTGTTTGGCCTGTGACAAAGGGACTGTGTCATCTGCTGTCTGCCCCTCAGGCTGATGAGTTCGGAATTAGCAAAGAGTAACTTTCCAAATTAAATTCATACTAACGTGACATTGTTAAACAGGATTTTCATGGATGTGAGGATGATACGCTGCTGGACATATCACCCCAAGTGTTTGAACATTTGTGCATATTATTGTATCCTAGTGTATTCATAAGGAAGATTCAAAAATATGATTGTTTTTTATTATAGAGATGTATCAGTCAATACTCAAGTTTTTCATATATATAAATAAATCTTTTTGGGAAGGAATTTGTGTCTTTACATGATTCTGATAGCAGTATGTACTAATGGGCAATTTGAAAATAGACTTTAATAATGGCATTATTGTTTCTAAATGACCTTAAACAGCTATTTGTTGTTTCTACCCTGACATACACCCTGATGCTGGTATATGTGCAGTAAGCTAATATCTGCAGTTATGTCATCCTTGCAAATGTATTTATCTAAGTGACATCATGTTAGTGGGGGTGCACAGACCTTTCACAGACTTATATAAAATGAATTACAACAGAACTGAGACAAACTTAGCAAACTGCAACATAGGAAATGAAGAAAAGCAAAAAAGAGAAACTACAAATTCTCTCTGCAGGTCTGGGCTCCTATTTGGCTCTGCACAGTGATACCTCTGGTCTCTTGTAATCTAGAATGCTAGAGCACATACCTCTTCCAAGGCCGAAAAGTCCCCTTATGGAACCACATTTAAATTCCCTAGATCTGGATTTTTATTTGGATCTTCACCAAATTACACACACTCATAAATATCAGCGGCCTAAATATGTCAGATGTTTTACACTTTACCCACGGAAATAGGTGAAAATATCAAAAAAGGCTCCATCTCGCAATGTGCAAGAAAGTGATCAAAAAACATTTTGCATACTTCTGCTAAATAACAAACAAAAGTACACACAGAGGTAAAAAAAAAAAAAAAAAAAAGATCATCATCAGACAAGCAAAATCAAGAGCCAAAGAAAGATGCATTCAGAGGCCAGTATGGTCTTTGGTTAATCATTCATCGAGTCAAAATGGGATTATTTAAAAAAAAATGAATTGAAGAATAAATGACTTTGTGTTTGAATCAAACCCAAGAGCTATAACAAAGAGGCCATGATGAAGTCCAAGTACAGAAAACAAATAAGTCAAAGTTTAGTCTGTGTTAAAATGGGACTGAAAAGCTAATCTGCCTATCCTCATTTCCTCTTTAGGTTGTATTTCTATGGAGACTTGATCAGAAGAACTTTCGGCCTTTGTTTCAAACCAGACTGGACAAGAAATCTATGCTCTTAAATCACCTCAAACTAAATTTACTGCACTTATTTCAAATGATATTCTTCGAACTGTCCATCTTCATGTAGGCGCTGTGAGCTAATTACTTAGGCAGGATACTAATATTGACAAAGCTCAGCGTTCTCTCACGTCCCTGGGACCTGAGTCTGCACACCGCCCACACACAGTGCACTGGAGTTTCTTTTAGCCCTACCAGAGAGATAGTCATCTAGTATCTGCAGAGCTGCCTCTGCTCTTTGTAACGATCAATACGATCCCTCCAACCCATCTCGTCCTCTCTGTCCCTCAGGACAAAAGCAGCAGAAGTAGTCCAACATAACATTTTACCCATGAAAATATTCTCTGACCAGAATCTATATCAATTCGTAATTATTTATTGACTTTAATATGCTCTAAAAGTGTATTCTGATAACTAAACACTTTTTTTATTCACCACCAGCCCCACATTGCTACCATACTCTCCCAATTGTGATGATAATCTGTACGATATCTGTAGATTTAATGAGACTTGGCTGCTTCTCTGGAGACCAACAGTGCTTCCTTTAGTTGTAGAGTCAGTCATGTCCCAGTTTAATTTCTACATTTATCCAGTGTCTCTCTATATCTGATCTGTTTGAGTCAGGTAATTAGAGCAAGTTAACTTATTAAATGACCTAATTAGAAATTGCATGATAGTCTGCTAAAAACAGACCTTGTTGATACACAACTATTCTCAGGGCAGTGAAACTATTTTCAGCACAATTAATCCAAGATGAATGGATTTTTGGTGAATACACCTGGCCTCGTGCTGCACTTATCTACATGTACCTCAGCCTGTTGTGTTCCTTCTTCATCCTTTATGTAAAGCATGTTGTGCTGGGTACACAAATACCAAAGGAACACACAGACTGATTGTAAAATGCTTAAACATGTTGGAGTATTCATAGCTCTACTATTTGCACAAGATTCCAGCCAATGTGGAAATTTTAAGTTCACATCTTAAAGGTTCAGTGTGTAGAATTTAGTGACATCTAGAGGTGAAGTGTCATGTTGCAGCTGAATACTCCTCATTTCACCCTCCCCTTCTCAACATGAAAGAGAACCTGTGGTGAACTTCAGTTGTCATGAAAACTCAAAAGGTTTTAGTTTGTCAAGTTTGGACGACAGTAGAAGACATGGCAGGATCCAGAGAGAGGACCCCCCTCCATGTAAATATAAAGTTGTTAAATATATGTTCATTCTATGGTAAAGAAAACTACAATTCATGGAATTTAGATGATTACACACCAGCGAAAACATCCCTAGGATTATCTTAAATTCAATTTCTGCTCAAATTTCAAGCTAAAAGTCATTGACATCAAGTGATGTGATGCAGAAGCGAAGCATGATGGGTAGAAAGAAAGTGTTGTTGGCGTTAAACAAAAATTCTTTTGTGTGTTTGTGTAAATGTGTTTTCGTCGACTGATTGTGGCGCCAGTGTTTATTTTCCTTTACAGATTTCACTTAATTCCCAGAGAGGAATAGTGATGACACACGCTTCAGACGTTCCTTAGCAACCACAGATGAGAATAATCCTCTACTTTGGGGCTTCATCTCCAAGATATATTATCAGTACACAAAAGACTCTGTGGATATAGACACACACACACACACACTC